ACTCACGATAAAACGGATTTTAAAAAATTCCTCACTATGTGCCCGAGGTACTACGTTATATCGAGAGTGACGTGTACGTACGTACCCGGAGATGATCATTCCGATAACCAATCAAAATCGTGAATTTTTGTTTACATGATAATGATGATAATGATGATGTAATTGATCTACATCATACATTTCGATAATAAATAGCCAAAAAAATAGATCAAGTAGACTTTGCTGATAATACAACGAAATACTCTATTGCTGATAATACAAGAGTATACTTTATTTTGATAAAGCAGCTAAAAATTTTCGTGCATTAGCGAAAGTTAATCCGATGACTTCGGTCAAAGGATATCCAAGATATTTCTTGATGGTTGTATGTTATCAAATAGGGTATAACTTGTCGCAACTAGTAATTTTTCTTGGTAGTTGCATATCGGCAAGAAAGTATATATATTCTTGTCGTAACTAGTAATTGTTCGTGCAAGAGCGACAATTAATTCGATGATTGCTGAAGAACTTAGTCGGTAATAAGTACTTCATTGAGTCAGAGAATTTCCAAGTTATTTCTTGGTAGTTACATATCAGCCATTTATTGATTTATTGCATACCCAAGTTATTTCTTGGTTGTTATATGTTAGTTAAGTATAATAAGCGAGTTATTATTTATGTTATTGATAATTAATTTAAAACTTATAATAATAATGATTTTATGCTATTGTCCAGATATTTTGTATTTGTAAAACGCGATCAAATGTAAACCATGCAAAAGTAAATAAGAGTACGATCTAAAAGAACGAATGAAGACTTAGATTTCTATCCCTTATCGATTCGGTTACTGGAAAATATAAAAGCAGCTAAAACACCGACTATATGAAGTTCAGTGTTAAAAATTCTTTGTGCATATATTTGTGCGGAATTTTTAATACTGATATTAAAAATAATATAAGATTGCAAAATTACCCCCGCACCAGAATACTCGACTCCCTTATGCTTTACTGTGCATTTTTTTATTGATTAGCAAGTTTTTTTTTTTTATTTATTTTGTATTGCGCATTTTTTTATTAATTATCCTTAATAATATGAGTTTAAATCGTGAAATGTGCCAGAACAAAAGCCAAATTTACCTAAATCAAGTGAATATGAAATCAGATAGTTCAACAAAAAAGCAAAAGCCACGCTGGTATGAATAAAAGTTTAAAATAGAAAATTTTATATTATATAGTAATTCACAAACCGGCAATATATCGTGAATAAAACTGGTAAATTTACATTAGCAAATATCTATATCTACGTATATAAAATATGAAAATGTTTACTAAGCACAATAAGTCAAGTTCAGTCAGTCACGTGCTCTATTATTTTTTTGCTACGTAGGTACGTACGTACGTACGTACACTAAAATTATTTTTTCTAAAAATCGCTACGACTCGACTAATATTTCGTAGTAAGTAAAAAAACAATAATTAGCCTGGTCTTATAAAGATTGGTTTCTATATGGCTACGATCATTATTAAATTTGGTTAAATCTTGTGATTATCGAAATTCTGTCAAAGGAGTACGTATATGTATGTACGTACAGTACGTTTGTAAACTTAGACCCAGTGTCACTTTTTTTTTCTTTTTGTAAAATGGCATCTCGTTTCAGCCGATTCGGCTTATTGTCGTTATTCAATATTTTCTTATTCTTCCTAACAGTTGTAACAGCAGCAAAAGGGCCCATTATCACTAATAAAGGTAACGCAATATCTAATATTTAACCAAATTATACTCAAGATGCTCACCTAATGAAATTTTTATCACAAAATCCAGTGTATTTTGACATTAAGCATGGTGATAAGGAGCTAGGTCGTATAGTTATAGGATTATATGGCAAAGTATGTAATAAATTATTAAAGTTCATCGATATTTGATGCTAAATTAGTCAATTACGTAATTTTAGACTGTACCAAATACGGTTGAAAATTTTCGTGCATTAGCTACCGGTGAAAAAGGTTTCGGATACAAGGGATCAAAATTCCATCGTGTGATTAAGGTGGGTATTAGAATAGTATAATTTTGAATGTTTGATATTGGAATCTCTACATTTCTGTATTATCGATAGGATTTCATGATCCAAGGTGGAGATTTTACGAAAGGTGATGGAACTGGTGGAAAGTCTATTTACGGGGAACGATTTCCCGATGAAAATTTCAAACTTCGTCACACAGGTCCCGGTGTTGTGAGTATGGCTAATGCCGGTGTTGACACGAATGGTTCTCAGGTACGCAAGTTTACAATTATTCCTATTTCTATGTTAATATAATATAACTTACATTAATCATTTGTTGACCAATTTGTTAAATATCACATGATATGTAGTTTTTTATTTGCACTGCTAAAACTTCTTGGCTTGATGGTCGTCATGTGGTTTTTGGTTATGTATTAGAAGGAATGGATGTCGTACGTCAGATTGAAGACGTCGAAAAGGGAAGCAATGATCGACCGAATGAAGATGTAGTTATCGTTGATTGTGGCGAAATTGACATTCAGGAAGATGAAAAACCAGTTAGAGTTGAACTATAATTTTGAAATCCAGAATGCACCTCTATTAAATGAACATTATTAACAAACGAATGAACGTATGTTTATGAAATTTGTTACATTATAGACACTATTTTCAGCTGAAGAAATGCCTACATAATATTCTTCAAAGTGGTTAAACTTTATAGAGTTTGCTATTTTATTTTAATTAATATGTGACAGTTCTATTTGAGTGCACAAAATGGGAAGTTTATCTAATTAATAATTGTGTTTTTTACTGTCGGGTAGAATCTAGATTCTTTTATTATTATAATAATAATAAAGTGATTTCCATTAAAATTTTTTTTTTTTTTACATGAAAAATTTTTTAAATGTACACAAAACTGACTCTATTATTAATTTGTGATACCAATATACAAATCTTCAACGTGAAATATTAAAACCATCACTTCATGTTGATCATGAAATTATTATTATTATTATTATTATTATTATTATTTGCCTATAATATTAACTGACGGAGATGTTAGAATCCTGACCCTAGCCAACTGCTAACCAAATTTTTAAGACGATCCCCTTGAAATAGCGGAGTCATTAGAACAGATTCAACACGTTCTACAGCTGGCTTGACTTTTTCTGATACAGATTTTTCCGGTAGATTCGTTTTGGCCTTAAGAGTTCGAGCTGAACGTTGTTCTTCATCTAATTTTCTCCATAAATTTAATAAATCAGCAATTTGATCACTTGGACACAATGATAAGGCGTATCCCATAAGTGTCATTTGTTGTTCTAAGTCTCTATAATTTTCCTGTTTGGCAACCTCATAACATATTCTCCAAGCAGCATCATTGGCTAAAGCTAGTTCTGTATTTTCGTTATCACCTTTATTAGCACTCGCCATAGCTTTGATAACATTCACTAAATCGACACACGTGTCGTATGCAGTAACAAAATTATTATCACGTAATGCGGCATCTGCGAGCATGGCCATTACTTTGACTTCAGCAACTTTATCATTTCGATAACCAAGTTTTGTTGCAAGTTTTATAATTGAGTTTGGGTCACGGTAAGCATCTTCATATGTACTCAATAAACGATCTATAAAGTCCAACCGATTTGGTGAAATGCGTATGTGCAATGGATGTATTGGTACTCCAGGTTGGTAACAAATTTTCTTTTCTGACAAAGCATGTGTTGCCTCAATCAATTCAATCTCTGCTGTTATAGTGTCCGATGTCGGTAATATTTGAAGACTATAAATAGAATTATTTATTATTAATTTTGAATATAACATTACCAAAATGCCTAGCAATAAATGAGACATGGCCGTTTTTTTTAATGATATACTGAATATTAGATTAAACATGGCCATATCTTCTTAATAAAGAAAAAAGTACCATTCGTATGCCATCTTCATGTAACCATGATTCATATTTCCTGAGGTAGCGTTATCGAAAAATTCTCTTGATGCATTGATAACTAGTTTTTCTGTTATATCCATTTTTAAAGGATGCGATTCATCGGTTGGCAAAAGGATTTCACGCGCCAATCTGAATTCTGTGAGTTAAAGGTTATGGATAAATATTTATTTTGGCTTCTTTCACAAAGGTTAGTAGTATAATTCGAAATAAGATTATTTGCAATGTTATATCAAAGGATACTTCCACAACTCAGAAGTCCAGATATGAAATTTTCATAAATTCCTTCAATAGATATTTCCCCTAAGACACCTCTACCATCACCTTGTAATATCTTCATGTCTTCTAACAATTGGATCCATTCACTTTCATTTTCAAAGTGCTCCCCATCAACTTCAAAATCATTTGTCCTTCGTGATAATTGAATACATAATTGTTTTTGCATAGTATAATTTTTTGCACTTTGAAGGAACCACCGTAAAGGTATTGGATTATTATAACGTGAAAGAATCTTTGCGGCGTTTAAATGAATTCCGAGTGAATGAATAATTTTCTGAAGTTGGTTTTTGTTTTTTGCCTTAAAGATAGGTAGAAAATCATGAGGAGAATACGTTTGTAATGAATTGATATCTATACCGGAGTCTGAATGGATAGCATTGATTTCCGAAGAATCCGAGTCAAGAGTTGGAAGACATTCAAAAATGCGTGTTTGAATATTTAGATCATTGGTGT